TTCAAAAGCTAATATTATACTCTACCTGTTAATGTTAAAAAGATCTCAATGAGTCTTCTCCCTGAAAAGGATGGTGGCTCCGAAGACAAAAAGTATGTGCCTTTTCGAATAATTATTTCTCTTGAACGAAAAAAGCTAATGAAGTATAAAAGATTGTGATTGAAAGAGCGAAACTATGAAAATATGTTTACATAGAGGCATGAAGGATGTTTGATCATGCTTTTTCGTTCATTTTTGGTTTTAAAGTCTGTTGTACGAAAAAGTGCTATGTCGATCGCTATAACAAAATCACTCATTGTGACATCACGGGTGACTGTTATTGGCCAATTTAACGATCTGCAAAGTAAAAATAGTCAATCGACCAACTTTTAAGGAGGATTTTACGAAAACCACAAGGACAACAACTGAATTTTTATTCGCATATCAAACAGCTGAATCTCAAAGATCATTTTCGTATTAGAAAGTGATACCTTTGGAAAAAGTTTTTTATAACAGAAAAAAATTTCGGCTATCAATAGCCGAAAAACCATTCAAGGGATAACACTAATACACTATGCGCACAGTGCGCGAAAAAAAATCAGGATTACTATGAATGACACATCTCTAGTAATGGTAGTATTTATTTATTAAAAACATATGATTTATTGTCTTTCAAAAACGAGAACAAATAAAGAAAAAAAAATTTTTCTTATTAATTAGATGATGCATTTTCAGCCGCCTGGGATATCCATGATTTAATTTGTTGAAGAGAATATTTTCAGCTTCTAATCTGTAAGTTTCAACAAGCCTTTGAAGTTCTTTTAACGGAAAATATTATTTACTTTTTTCTATATTAATATTACCAGCTAAAAGCATGCTTTTTAATTGTTCAGTCACATTAAATCAAACTTCTCACCACCTTTCAACTTTTGATTACTCTTTAGAGCAAATCCAGATTTCAATTTTTTATCCAAGAGAGAATTATTGTCTGAATCGGGATAACTGTATTGATTTAATTTCTAATTTATTTCCAATGAAATCCAAAATTTTCTCTCAAAGCTTCAACCTTACTTCAGGAACAGACAATTTTTGAATTGATGGGTCAACTTCTGAAGGAACAAACATTTTCCATTCTGATTGAGGTGTTGTTTGATTAATGGCTAACATTTGGTTGATTAATATTTATTTTCAGAAGTTTTTTAATATCAAAAATTGAATATTTTTTTGATTTCTCATAATTAGGTATTTCATAAGCTGCTATATATCCATCTTTGTCACCAGATGGCCACATGAAAGTAAAATAATTAGAAATTCCTTTGATGGTACCAACTGGCACTTTTTTAC